TGAATAGGTTGAGCTCCTTTCAGTTTTTGTCCACTTCAACTTCGAGTCCGCCAAAAAATTACTAGTAAAGCATTAGAGTATGAATTGGGAGCCTTTGAGGAGATTTTAATCATTTTATTACACAACTGTAATCTCCCAGGGCACTGCGGCAAGTCGAATTACAGATAAATGTTTAGGAAATGGACGCCACCTGCCTCCTGCCCCTGCTGCTACCCTGCCTCCTGCCCCCTGCTGCTACCCTGCCTCCTGCCCCTGCCTCCTGCCCCTGCTGCTACCCTGCCTCCTGCCCCTGCTGCTACCCTGCCTCCTGCCCCTGCTGCTACCCTGCCTCCTGCCCCTGCTGCTACCCTGCCTCCTGCCCCCTGCCTCCTGCCCCTGCTGCTACCCTGCCTCCTGCCCCTGCTGCTACCCTGCCTCCTGCCCCTGCTGCTACCCTGCCTCCTGCCCCTGCTGCTACCCTGCCTCCTGTCCCTGCTGCTACCCTGCCTTCTGCCCCCTGCTGCTACCCTGCCTCCTGCCCCCTGCTGCTACCCTGCCTCCTGCCCCCTGCTGCTACCCTGCCTCCTGCCCCCTGCTGCTACCCTGCCTCCTGCCCCTGCTGCTACCCTGCCTCCTGCCCCTGCTGCTACCCTGCCTCCTGCCCCTGCTGCTACCCTGCCTCCTGCCCCTGCTGCTACCCTGCCTCCTGTCCCTGCTGCTACCCTGCCTTCTGCCCCCTGCTGCTACCCTGCCTCCTGCCCCCTGCTGCTACCCTGCCTCCTGCCCCCTGCTGCTACCCTGCCTCCTGCCCCTGCTGCTACCCTGCCTCCTGCCCCTGCTGCTACCCTGCCTCCTGCCCCTGCTGCTACCCTGCCTCCTGCCCCTGCTGCTACCCTGCCTCCTGCCCCCTGCTGCTACCCTGCCTCCTGCCCCCTGCAGCTACCCTGCCTCCTGCCCCTGCTGCTACCCTGCCTCCTGCCCCTGCTGCTACCCTGCCTCCTGCCCCTGCCTCCTGCCCCCTACTGCTACCCTGCCTCCTGCCCCTGCCTGCTGCCCCTGCTGCTGCCCTGCCTCCTGCCCCCTGCCTCCTGCCCCCTGCTGCTACCCTGCCTCCTGCCCCCTACTGCTACCCTGCCTCCTGCCCCTACTGCTACCCTGCCCCTTACTGCTACTCTGCTCCTGCCTGTACCTTAGTATTGTTTACCTGGTGTTAATTACAAGTTTACTAACCACTCGTTACACTCGCTAATGACATTACAAGATGACCCCCCCCCCCTCACTTGCCCTCAGAGGCTCTTCCCTGAGCCCCTAATTGCTCCTGTACGAAGCCTTAACTTCAGTTGGGATCAAACGAAAGCCTTCAGATACCACTGTTCTCACCCACATAATCGTCATGATAATAATAACCTGCCAGAGTTTGGTGTAATGTTTCTAAGACAACAGTGGCTCTGTCTGTCAGCTTCGTGAAGCTGTGATTGATGGGGAAGTAATTGGTGATGTTAATAACGTGAACCTGAGACGAGCGAGTTCCCTAAACGGCGCACTAATGGCCATTAGCCCTGGGGTCGTTCCGGCTAGATAATCCGGCAAGGGTGTCTCTGGGGGGTGACCTGCTTGACCCACGATGACCCCATTAGTACGAGAGGTCAGTGATGGACCTGGTTTGTCGCCTCTTAACTACCTATAGTCACGTAATTGCGGGGGATAATTCGCATTTCGGAAAATTGCATGTTTAGTCGGTGATATTTTGCGTGACTTGAATCAGGACGATTCCGTTGGTGCTATCGTTGGTTCGGCGCCTCACAGGTGTTCCCCGTTACCTTCCAAACACAGGTGTTTTATCCCCTATTTGTCCTACAGATTCCGTGCCATTTACCTTCCACTTCCCTGCCCTAGCCCCTACAGGCGCTCCCCTAAACCCCGGCAGGAGACAAGAGCCTTACCTTGATGAGTCTGTCTCTGATCTCCCACGAGAAGACGCCGGGATTATCCTTCTTGTAGTCATCAATGCGCTTCTCAATATCTGGGGTGGTTACCTTGGGCTTGGAGCCGCCGATGACGCCTGGCCGGATGGAGCCGGTCTCCTGGTAGCGGTTGAGGATCTTGGAGACGCAGCCGTGGGAGACACGCAGCTGGCGGGAGATGACGCACGGACGAACGCCCGCCGCCGCCATTTCCACGATCTTGAGGCGGATGTGGTTGGGCAGTGGCCGGCCGTTGATGAACACGCCGCCCAGCTGGTTGACGCGCCCCTGACCTGTACACACACCACCAGCTACTCTCAGGGTTAGGTAGAATTACCGCTCTTATCATCTAGATGGTTGAAGACTACTTCTCTACACTCAGAAATAACAATAGCGTGATGCATCAAATGAACAAATCCACAAGGGCCGTGACGAGGATTCGAACCTGCGTCCGAGAGCATCCCAGACGCTGCCTAATCGACTGAGCTACGACAGGGTAAAAGAATAGGTAGAACGACCTATTGACATAGCTCGAGTGCATGGGGGTAAAATCCTGGTTTGTGTCTCGGAGAGGGTGCAGGATCCAAGTAAATTCAGTAGAATTTCTGGTTGAAATTCTTTTGATCATGTCGTAGCTCAGTCGATTAAGGCAGCGTCTGCGATGCTCTCGGACGTAGGTTCGAATCCTCGTCACGGCCCTTGTGGATTTGCTCTACTTCTCTACTTTTTATGGGGTGACTGATATTACCCCTCAATGTCTACCATATAATATGCCCTAGTATCTACTAGATGAATGAGATGTAGTGTTACCACTCTCATCTACTAGATAAATGAGATATTATTACCACTTTTATCTACTTTATGGGTTGTTAATATTATCTCTCAAATCTACCATATATTTTGTAAATATTACCTCCCTTATCTGCACTATGGGTTACTAAAGTGACTTCTCTTTTATGGACGAAAACCCGGACCAATATTACCCCTCACTACAACACAATTTTAAAAGCTAAACTCATATTAAACTATATTCTAAAAATTTATATTTTAACTATAAATTTTATATGATAAAAATCTCAAATAAAATATAAAAAATATACTTGTTTACATATTTTAACCATACTGAACTCATTATAAAAATCAACATAATTGTAAACTTAAAAATGTTGTGATTCCTCGTCTAATTGAGTGAATGATTTTCAGGTAATAAAGGGAAATTAGTAGTGATATATATATATTGTATAGTCCTGACCAGCTGAGCAAGGCAGGGCAGGCGAGCCTCGCCTCGGACCCGCGTTCGAGCCCCGCTACCAGCACTGTGTAGTAACCAAGTGGAACATTTGAAAACAAATTCAGAACACAAACTCGACATATTTTACACGTTGTTCAAATTGTTTGTGGTTGCTAATGTTAAAAGTCAACGGCAGATATTATCTCTCCTGGCGCCAGAGATGTGTTGAGGTTATCTTGCGATGATTTCGGGGCTTAGCGTCCCCGCGGCCCGGTCCTCGACCAGGCCTCCTTTTTGTTACACATCCCCCAGGAAGCAGCCCGTAGCAGCTATCTAACTCCCAGGAATCTATTTACTGCTAGGTGAACAGGGGGCATCAGGGTGAAAGAAACTCTGCCTATTTGTTTCCGCCTCCACCGGCGATCGAACACGGAACCTCACGACTACGAATCCCGAGCGCTGTCCACTCAGCCGTCAGGCCGCTGTCAGCCAGGAAAAAGATAATTTTCCATATCCTGAATCTGCATATCATTTATATATTTGAGTTGTATAAACAAGTCAACTGAGACAAGATAAAAACGTATTTTGCATTATTTCATTGTAAGCTATAATTAATAATGCTAGATTATCACAAGGCAATTAACACGTATAGCTGTTATTTTTGCCGTTGATTTCAATCGCTTGTCTTAATTGGCGACATCTTTTTTTCCTCTAATTCACAGCCTAAATAAATTGTTTTCCTCGTTAATAGTTCACTCTGAAAACGATAAAGAGCTCTGTGTCGGGGGATAATGTTCACGAGCTTAGTCGACAGGGATGATTTACTTATATAGACGGAAGCTGCGGAATGACAGGGATGCTACATAGACGGATGCTGAGGGCTGAAAGACGGTACAGAGACAGCTGGGACCGGGGGGAGGGAAGGGGTTGGGGCTAGGTAGCTGAGTATTGACCCACCACAAACAATCAAGTGAGGTGACAAATGCGAATCACCGTCGGCCGTTGACGAGCGGTGATTCGTAGTGGGGTAATTACCGCTGACAGTCCAGTGATCAGTCAGTCGGTCCTGTTGAGCGGAACTGGGCTCCGGTGGCCGCCTAATGCCACCTATTACCACTCCATAACATGATATTTGCACATGCAAAAATGACAATAATATCGTAGCTTGCCATAAGAACCGGGCCTCTACCGGTAATTGGGCCTCGCTTGATGAGTTCGGATGATGAGCACTAAGCTACGCGGACCGTGAAGAGTTCGAGTGATGAGTTTACACTAAGGGCTGTAGAGCACTTATGTAAGCACTGAATATTTAAGCGTATTCTCCTACACTAAATCTTGTCCAACCTATCAGCGAAGATTATCAATTCACTTAACTCTCATTATATACAGTCTTCAGGAGGTAACTTTACAAGGTGGGTAGTTCTGCTGTTTAGAACAAGAGAGAGAGATAAGACCAACGTTTAAACGCTTACCCTGGAAAGGATAGCCGGAGAAAATCGGTCTAATAGTCATGATTGCATACACCCCGGACGCTCACTCCCACAGTAGTACCGAGTCGCACTCCCACAGTAGTCCCACGTCGCACTCCCACACACCGGTACTTCTGGGACCAGCACTCGCGCACCTTGAGGCACCTTGAGACACTGTCTACAGGACTCTGGGCTACGCCACCCACAAACTCAGGTGTTAAACTACAAGGCAATACGCTGGGACCTACACTGTTTGGGTCCCCAGGCTCCGCCCACCGTCCGGCTCCCCATTGGTCGGTGCTAGAGGCGGCGGCTTTGATGCGGCGAGCGGTTGCGGTGATTGGGTGAGCGGGTGTGAAGGAGGTGATGAGGGGCGGGGCTAGGCGAGGATAGCCTGCTATCAACGTGTGGGGTAGGCCAGCCAGCCTTCACATTCCTCTTCTCAAAAGGCTATGGATATCACTAGGATTTATTTATGCAATTCCATTGTTAATATATTTTAGTCTTTTTACCTTTTGTTCTGCCAGAATAATTGATTTCTTGTTGAAATTCTTCTCTATTTTTTCTCTATTCTATTTCGAGAAAAATCAAATATATTCATTTTAAGTGCAATTTAGAATTAACATGTTCTTAATTGTTGACTTAAAAAAATAACCGCGATTTTCAACACTTAAAATGCAAATAGAAAAGTTCAAGAAGAAATAAGATAACTGATAGTTCAGTGAAGTTTACCAGAGAGACTTTAACTCCTCAAGACGAGAAGCATCTCAACCCTCGTCTTGATGCTAGGATGTTGATGGTGTGGTTGTAGGGCAGGAATGGTTCCCTTATTATAGCCAGACAAGCTTTGTTTCCACTCGCCCCATACCCACTCACTCGCCCCATACCCTCTCACTCGCCCCATACCCACTCACTCGCCCCATACCCTCTCACTCGCCCCATACCCACTCACTCGCCCCATACCCACTCACTCGCCCCATACCCACTCACTCGCCCCATACCCACTCACTAGCTCCATACCCACTCACTCGCCCCATACCCACTCACTCGCCCCCATACCCACTCACTCGCTCCATACCCACTCACTCGCCCCATACCCACTCACTCGCCCCATACCCACTCACTCGCCCCATACCCACTCACTCGCCCCATACCCACTCACTCGCCCCATACCCACTCACTCGCCCCATACCCACTCACTAGCCCCATACCCACTCACTCGCCCCATACCCTCTCACTCGCCCCATACCCACTCACTCGCCCCATACCCACTCACTCGCTCCATACCCACTCACTCGCCCCATACCCACTCACTCGCCCCATACCCACTCACTCGCCCCATACCCACTCACTCGCCCCATACCCTCTCACTCGCCCCATACCCACTCACTCGCCCCATACCCACTCACTCGCCCCCATACCCACTCACTCGCCCCATACCCTCTCACTCGCCCCATACCCACTCACTCGCCCCATACCCACTCACTCGCCCCATACCCACTCACTCTCCCCATACCCACTCACTCGACCCATACCCACTCACTCGCCCCCATACCCACTCACTCACCCCATACCCACTGTATCTTTCTGTACCCAATCACTCTCTCCATTTACCGCTCACTTACCCATACATACCTGGATCATACCTGTAGTTGGTTCTGTGAGTTCTACTCCCAAAGCCCGGCCAGGCCTGGCTTTTCCTGAAATTGATCCGGTAGACTGTTGCGTGCAGCGGCCCGCAGGCCCCACACATCTCTAACAACCCCGTTGGTCTGACACGTTACTAATTTTTTCTTGAAGAAAAACATTTATTTTCCGACAGTATTTAATGTTTCTTGGAAGGGTATTGGATTGTCGTGGACCTGAGATGTTGAGGCGGTGTTCACTGTTCCTATGGCACCTCTATTCTTCACTGGTGCTATTCTGCATTTCCTTCCGTATCGTTCACTCCAGTATGTTGTTATTTTACTGTGTAGGTTCGGGCCCTGGCCCGCCAGTACCTATAATTCCTATGTCATGTGATACTTCTCTCGTCACCTTTCTAGGGAGTACATTCTGATAGCTTATCTTGAGATAATTTCGGGGCTTAGCGGCCCCGCGGCCCGGTCCTCGACCAGGCCACCTTTTTGTTACCCCCCCCTCTTCCCAGGAAGCAGCCCGTAGCAGCTGTCTAACTCCCTGGTACCTATTTACTGCAAGGTAAACAGGGGGCATCTTTGCAATATTTCCAATAGTTTATGTACTTTATCGCGTGTGTGCGCGCGTTCCGTGTATGTTCTCCGTAATCTCACTATCTTAGACATATTTCTCCTGTTTTAAAGAAGCATTCTGAGGAGTTGTCAAGACGGGACAACTCAAGTGATTTAAAGAATCTAAGCATTGTAGTGGAATCCCTGGAATTAAAGGTTCTCGTAATCCCTTTATGATTTTGATGATTGATGCTGCGTTCTGCTCTCTTATGCGCCCTAAACGTTATGTCGCATAACAGCATTATTTCCCGGTCCTTTATGTATTGATTTCCATTTATGAGGGGATACGATGGTGTCTTGTATGCTGTATTGTGTATAATTTATGAGGGGATACGATGGTGTCTTGTATGCTGTATTGTGTATAAGTTCTTCATTTTTAAGTTTCCTATTTTATATTTTTTTAATTTTGCCCCGAGGGGCGAGTTTTTTGGGGCCGCGCCACTCATCCTATGAGTGGACACTCCGCCATAGCGACAGTATTGGGCAGCGCCACTCATCCTATGAGTGGACACTCCGCCATAGCGACAGTATTGGGCAGCGCCACTCATCCTATGAGTGGACACACCGCCATAGTGACAGTATTGGGCAGCGCCACTCATCCTGTGAGTGGACACACCGCCATAGTGACAGTATTGGGCAGCGCCACTCATCCTGTGAGTGGACACACCGCCATAGTGACAGTATTGGGCAGCGCCACTCATCCTGTGAGTGGACACACCGCCATAGTGACAGTATTGGGCAGCGCCACTCATCCTGTGAGTGGACACACCACCATAGTGACAGTATTGGGCAGCGCCACTCATCCTGTGAGTGGACACACCGCCATAGTGACAGTATTGGGCAGCGCCACTCATCCTGTGAGTGGACACACCGCCATAGTGACAGTATTGGGCAGCGCCACTCATCCTGTGAGTGGACACACCGCCATAGTGACAGTATTGGGCAGCGCCACTCATCCTGTGAGTGGACACACCGCCATAGTGACAGTATTGGGCAGCGCCACTCATCCTGTGAGTGGACACACCGCCATAGTGACAGTATTGGGCAGCGCCACTCATCCTGTGAGTGGACACACCGCCATAGTGACAGTATTGGGCAGCGCCACTCATCCTGTGAGTGGACACACCGCCATAGTGACAGTATTGGGCAGCGCCACTCATCCTGTGAGTGGACACACCGCCATAGTGACAGTATAGGGCAGCGCCACTCATCCTGTGAGTGGACACACCGCCATAGTGACAGTATAGGGCAGCGCCACTCATCCTGTGAGTGGATACACCGCCATAGTGACAGTATAGGGCAGCGCCACTCATCCTGTGAGTGGACACACCGCCATAGTGACAGTATAGGGCAGCGCCACTCATCCTGTGAGTGGACACACCGCCATAGTGACAGTATAGGGCAGCGCCACTCATCCTGTGAGTGGACACACCGCCATATTGACAGTATAGGGCAGCGCCACCCATCCTGTGAGTGGACACACCGCCATAGTGACAGTATTGGGCAGCGCCACTCATCCTGTGAGTGGACACACCGCCATAGTGACAGTATTGGGCAGCGCCACCCATCCTGTGAGTGGACACACCGCCATAGTGACAGTATTGGGCAGCGCCACTCATCCTGTGAGTGGACACACCACCATAGTGACAGTATTGGGCAGCGCCACTCATCCTGTGAGTGGACACACCACCATAGTGACAGTATTGGGCAGCGCCACTCATCCTGTGAGTGGACACTCCACCATAGTGACAGTATTGGGCAGCGCCACTCATCCTGTGAGTGGACACACCGCCATAGTGACAGTATTGGGTCGCGCCACTCATCCTGTGAGTGGACACACCGCCATAGTGACAGTATTGGGCAGCGCCACTCATCCTGTGAGTGGACACACAACCATAGTGACAGTATTGGGCAGCGCCACTCATCCTGTGAGTGGACACACAGCCATAGTGACAGTATTGCGCAGCGCCACTCATCCTGTGAGTGGACACACCACCATAGTGACAGTATTGTGCAGCGCCACTCATCCTGTGAGTGGACACACCACCATAGTGACAGTATTGGGCAGCACTACTCATCCTGTGAGTGGACACACCACCATAGTGACAGTATTGGGCAGCGCCACTCATCCTGTGAGTGGACACACCACCATAGTGACAGTATTGGGCAGCGCCACTCATCCTGTGAGTGGACACACCGCCATAGCAGCATGTACAACACTCCCCAATAGGAAGAAAATCCGCTGGGTTGTTCATCCTGTCACTTGTACCCAGACACAGCTGGGACTTGCTTAACTGTCTCAAGTGAACAGCTCCTCAAACAAGAAGATTAACATCTGTCAACCCTTATAATCTTACGTTATCTTGCGGGTGCAAAATGAGAACTTTTGAAAATGAAAAAATCTTTTGAGAACAGTATCAATATTTGACAAATAGTGTTTTCCTAACTCAAATAATGTGGGGTTTATTATTCTACACATAGTTCTAATGTCTCTCAGGTGTTCACATTCACGTAGATAGTGGTCATGGCGGTGGCCGTCACTTTCCTATGTATCTGTAATTTATCACTGTTTATATATCGCGTTATTTTCTGTTGCCCAATCAAAGACTTTATTGGTATCACCTTCTGTAGTTTTCAATGTCTTCTACACAAGTCATTTTCATGCTGATTTCTACATCGTCTACACACGATGAGAGTAAACTTTATTTGGGATTGTTGGTCTTTATCTATTTTGAGAAGGAGAACAAGTAGCGGTGCAAGGAGTGTGCCCTGGGAGACTGTGCTTATCACTGTGCTTGCACTCTACTTTGAACAAATCCACAAGGGCCGTGACAAGGATTCGAACCTGCGTCTGGGAGCAATTCTACTTTATTTGAGTAACTGTTACCCTTTTGTATGCTTTGTAATAGGAAACTGAGCAAAGTTACATTACGGAGCAGTGTA